GGCAAAGTTTAATACTTCTGTTCAACGAGGCTGTAACTGTTGGTTAAGTGTCCTATAATAGCGCATAATTGGCGCGCGAAGGTTTTACACCAATTGTTTAATTGTTTAAAAGGTATGCGCGTGCGCTCGTAAGCTACCAGGAAATTGGCCTACGCTGGGTTGCTACAATCCTAACCTGAATCCGATCTTCAACTGTCAAATTTTATGATCCTTTCATACTTTCTTAATGTTTAAATAGTCTTAGTAAAAAAAAAACGAAAACCGACCAAAGACATTTCGTAACGCAGATATTTCGACCAAAAACTGTTTGAAATTTGACAGTTGACGGTCGGATTTGGATTAGCATTGATTTTAGACTCGTAGCAAACCGACGTCAAACTATCTAAACATTCAGCCAAACAAACGCGATCACACGCGACCAGTCGGCATGCAGCGATGGCGATCAATGCATTTAAGTCTGATCGCCTGATCGGATCTGAATGTTTGACTGAACCTTTAAACATTTACCGGTGGCTCATAAGTCCCACGCGATAGACGAGAATACTTATTTATTTACAAAATCGTTCCCAAATATTCTTCTATGCAGAATAACTTTTTCTACGACAGTTGGGGATTGGAAATAGAAATGATAATTTAAGTCGCTCATACATCACAGTCGCAGTATACTGCCGCGCCATACTCAATTACTATAATAATCGCCAATCTGAGCCGAGTAAAAACTGAACCTCGCGAAACTAGCTCAAATGTACAGTTGGCTAATTTATGGCCGTTGAAGTAATAGCGACTCGTACAGTCGGAGTCAATTATCCCATCCTGGTTTCTGATCTTATCCCATCCCTAGTGTATACCTTCTTCTTCATGGAAAATTCCATGCGGTTGACAGTTCTAAATTAAAATTTCTCGTTGTGTGGTTGATTCTGTTAGGATCTGTTTGATTTATTCACTTTCAAAGCTTATCAGTGTGCCTACCATGAGTTTACGTTAGGTGTGCTCGCTAGCGACTGCGTAAAAAAATGACATTTAAATGTATGACATATTGTGCAGCGCCCCTAGCGGCTACTTTCAAGAAATAAAATGTTCATAGAATTTTTTGACGTATTCGCTAGCGAGCTCACCTAATGTAAACTCATGGTAGGCACACAGGTATCTGACGCTAGGGTACCTACAATAAGTCAATAATGACAAATAACTATAACTTAACTAATCACCTTTGAATTTGTTTGTGGTAAAGGTCTTTTATTTTATCGGTAATTTTGGTTTGTAGTTTGGGTTCGTCTCCTAAATGACGCTGATTAAAGTTTATCTTGTTTGTATTCTTCTATATCTTTCAAGCTTTCAGCTGACGGACATACTGTATAGACACTTTATAACTTGTGTTGGTAACTTGCTTATATTTTTTTAATTAAAGAGCTTTCTATAGCTTTAACATCTGTCCGCGTGTACAGTCGTGTCCAGGCGCGGGCCGCTGCAGCTTTATGGCCAGTTTAATTCGTCACAGACTGCGCGACCCACATCGGGCCGGGATGCCTTGCTAGTGCGCGATACTAGAGTTAGACGAACTGTTTGTACCTACTAAAATTATTAATGCAAAAGTGTGTGAGGATAAACACGAATGTTTATAACTCCTTTCCATCAAACACGTACCCACAGGGATTATTTTGGTAATATCTATTCTACGTCAGATATTAACATAGGTTATCATTTTTCGAAACTCAGGTTGGTGAAGTCTCAGGCAAAAGTTACAGGTTTTTTTACTATCTCAAAGTACGAGTATTGTAAATTCCACGTAGCCTACACATGTATACAAGTAGAGTACCTAACAACGCAGAAGTAGAGCAAGCAAATGCGCCATCATTCCACCAGCACTCATGCAACATCGCGTTTAGGTTCCAAGCTAGGTCTATTCACCACCCTGTAGCTATCGTCCGCCCACCAAGCAGCTACAGATCCTTCTTTTATTGATAGACTAGCTTTCCGCCCGCGGCTTCGCCCGCGTGGAATTTTGTCTGTCACAGAAAAACTTTATCGCGCGCGTCCCTGTTTCAAAAACCGGGATAAAAACTATCCTATGTTCTTTCCCGGGACTCAAACTATCTCTATGCCAAATTTCATCAAAATCGGTTGCGAGGTTTAAGCGGGAAAGCGTAACAGACAGACAGACAGACAGACAGACAGACAGACAGACAGACAGACAGACAGACAGACAGACAGAGTTACTTTCGCATTTATAATATTAGTTGGGACTAGCTTTCCGCCCGCGGCTTCGCCCGCGTGGAATTTTGTCTGTCACAGAAAAACTTCATCGCGCGCGTCCCTGTTTCAAAAACCGGGATAAAAACTATCCTATGTTTTTTCCCGGGACTCAAACTATCTCTATGCCAAATTTCATCAAAATCGGTTGCGAGGTTTAAGCGGGAAAGCGTAACAGACAGACAGACAGACAGACAGAGTTACTTTCGCATTTATAATATTAGTTGGGATGGGAAGTAATTATTGTTCGTGACCACAATATCGATGGCCAGGCCTTATCTATCGGCATCAGAATCACACGCTCGCTATTCGCGAGCTCCGAAATATGGCAATTAAGAGGAAATTGGATTAGCGAAAGTTAATAGTAGTCGTGCTCTTATTGTGGGGTTAAGGCGCTCGTACACCTGATCGGATTATAAAAACACAGCGTGCGCCAACTTTTTCTTTTCAATAAATTCGCACTGCCTACATTTTGTTATTAGCCAAAACGATAGGCACTCAACCAATGAATAGACCAACAACATAGCCAATATTTTTTAAATGTTACTTTAAAGAATAATACAATTTTAACCCCTTATTCTTGTGGCAAGTTATAAACGATTTTAGACGACAAATATTTGGGATTCTCGTCCAATATCGATAAATGCATCGATAAAAGTTTATCGTGCTGGCATCCTAGGCCTTTCTGGAATGAAACTGAAGCATAGACTGATATTGGAATTCAACCAAATAATCAAGTTTTGATTTTTGATGAGGTCGTTTATTAATATGAGTCAAAGACAAAACTCAATAACAGCTAGAAAATGATTGAACGAGCAATACAATTTTCTGATATTTGTAATACCTATTAAGTGTATAGTCGCCTTAATTGCTTCTAAATTAGAACTATAACATGGCGGAGTAATCGCTGCGGGTAGTTAGCGGACGAATAATGGCGGTAAGCATGTACTTAGATTTGCTATTAATTCGAATTGCGGCTCTTGCAGTCTTGGGCAACCTCACGACCGGACTTATTAACGTTGCGGCGATGTGAGGGGTCGGTCTACAATGACTTCCGAAGGCGGTGGACGTTACTTCATCGAACTGATTACTTAACCCAAAAGTAAATAATACTTTTATGTAGGTACAGTTAATTGCATATTAACTTACTGAATTATGACAGATTTCCTCATTGAGGTAAAGTTGCTGGTAGGGCCCAAAAGATAAGGAGACATGTAAAGTGCCCCTTAAGGGCTACCTTTTCTTTTGTATTATTTACTATATTTTGACGTTCATAAGTTCCACTTGTGGTTTAAACTGAATAAACATTTTTGATTTTGATTTTTGATTTTGTTGTATCTTAGGTTTATTACCTTTGTTTATTCTATAGCAAAATACCTACCCCTCTATCATTATCAACAGGACTTATGTAAAACTAGTTAGATTCGGGCGATGTGGAACTCATTGGGGGAGGACTATATGCAGCTGTGGACGTTCTGTGGCTGAAATAATGATGATGATGATGATTTAAACTCTTACTTTTAATTTACAAAATATTTTAGTTATGAGTGAATGAGGCGGATAGGAGCAATGTGTCGATATCGAAATAGTCTTGCGAAGTAGCGCACTTGTAACATTAACCTAAACTATGTTATTGAAGGCGTTAGTGGGTTCGTAAATAAGCCGGACAGGTGTCGTGTTGCCGCGGCCAATTTGCCGCCACTCATTGTGCGTAAATTTCCTTAATCTATCTATATATATAAAAATGAAACCCGTTTCGCGTTGTCACGGCATCACGTGTGAACGGCTGAACCGATTTCGATAATTCTTTTTTTTAAATGTTTGTGGAAGTCCAAGGATGGTTCTTACGGAAAAAAATATTAAGAAAATCTCTACGCTAAGGCGGTACGAAGTTCGCCGGGTCAGCTAGTTAATAATAAATTTCGCGACAAATCGGGCAGTCTTGTCGATGGATTTCAGCATTAAAGTGTCTTACAAGACCTATGACGTCAGAGGACCTATTTCGATAATGATTTATTTCACTTTGACTCGCGTTCTCTGGGATACTGGTAGAAGCAAGAAAAACGCGAAGGCATAGAAATTGTTGCAAACGTTGTAACTCGAGAGAATATATTTTAAATCAATTAGTTTTTTTTACAAAAAGATGTTGCTTGAATTTTAAAATCTGACTTTATATTTTTGGAGTCGGTGACGGAACATTTTTTAGTTTGAATTTTTTTGTTAAGTTTCTACAATAATAAATATGACATTATTGTACCAAATAATTTTCCTCAACCGGCTTGCCATCATTTTTAGGGTTCCGGTGATAAAATGACGAACCCATGGTATAGAATAGTATAGATAGAACATCATTTTGCTCCCGTTTATCGCTTATCGGCTCAGTTAGGTTTTGAACTCTATCAATTAAAAGAACGCCTGGGAAGATAATAAGTCAAAATTAATAAGCTAAATGTGTGATAGTGTGGGAAAGGTACATACATTGTAATTACATATTTAAGTTTCATCTAAATACAGGGTTATTTGTAAAATACTAGCACCGCGCAGGAAAAATAATTTTATTCCACGTGGAATTTTCGTGTTCCGCGTCCATGTTAGCAATGTAATTATTTTGGGAGAAGAGAGATATTAGGCTACGAAACCCTCAATGCGTAAATCCAACAGTTTTTTGGCCGGTTTTTAATTGAGCTTAATCTAGAACCAGTTATACTTATTTTTATAATATCAAGAATGATGACTAGTAACGTTCCGTCTGCATCGAAGGAAACTACTTGATTAAACATGTATCTGCCGTGCTTTTTTGTTGCGCTGTGTATTTTGCATTTTAACAAAGTTTTAAGTCAAGATCCCGAGGTGTGTAAAGCAATGGGGGAGCAGAACGGTACCTGCGTCCCCCTGCCTATGTGTCCCCAATATGTGTTACTGCTGAAAGACCCGGAGACCATCCAATTAGGACTGAAAATCACCGAGGAGTTTAAATGCGGTTTTGAAGGTAATAGTGTTAAAATATGCTGCCCATTTGATGGTAGCAACGAGAGTGACCACCTCGTAAGTTTTAAAGCAGATGATGATGATTTTGTTGAAGAATTCCCCTCAAACTGCGGGTCAACTGATACTAAACGACTTTTTTGCAAATATGAAACTTCGTTTTTACTCGCATCAAAGCCTGCGTATACAGCCATTTCTCGCTGGATGGCTCTGCTGGGATACAAAGATGGCTTGCGATGTGGAGGCTCCCTCATAACCCAACGACATGTCCTCACTGCTGGACATTGCATCACGGACTCCTTGTACGTGGTACGTTTTGGCGTGATAAATTTAGTAGAAAAGACTCGTTTCGTCAAACATCCAAAATCTAGGGACTATCCAATAAAAAGGACTATACTTCACGAGGAATTTTTAAAATCATATTCAAACACCGCCAACGATATTGGATTGGTTGTGTTAGCAGAAGACGTTCAATTTACAGAAAACATAAGCCCAGTGTGTTTGCCACTACCTACCTATTATAGAAGAAATATAGAAGGTGTAACTCATGGAACTGTGACAGGTTGGGGAGAGACTGAGAGTGGGAGTTTGTCATCCAAGCTCTTATATTCATCGATGAAGCTGTACGATAATGAAGAGTGTAGAAAAATATATAAGCACTATTATACAATAGACGAGCGGGTGCTGTGCGCAGGAGAGCATGGGACTGACGCGTGTCACGGGGACAGCGGGGGACCGCTGGTGTGGCTGCAGTGCGTGGGACCCAAAGGCGACGATATGCCTTATGATGGCATCGACCTGTATTTCCAAATCGGAATTGTCTCAAGCGGCTTCGCATGTGAGTATAGTGCGTTCAGAGGCGTATATGTTAACGTTTCATATTACGTGCCGTGGATAGAAGAAAAGGTGCTGGGGAGAACTACAATAAAGATATAAATTTAAGGTTATAATATTGTATTATTTTGTTTAATTAAGCCGGTGAAAATGTTCAACTAAAGAGACTTGACAGTACAATAACATTGACCGAATGGATTGCAACAAAAAAAAATGCATTTTTTATAAAACTGCTCATGAAAAATTTACTATAAAGACGAAGTACTCCCGCCAGACGTGATACTAAATCCATACTAACCCACATCAATGTAACTCACCAAAGAATACTCGTCTAACTCACTCGCGGCTGTAACACTTGGTTCTATAAGCCTAAACAACTGTAACAAGATTCCCCATCGGACTGACGATCGGGCGTTAGGAAAAACGCGACATGTGCGAGGATACTATACGTCCGACAGATGTCGTCGGTTGTCTGCCAGTTAGGCATTGCTCTTACGATACTTATCTAGAAAAAGAAGTATGGGCAGCTTTAGATAAAGTTAGGTAGTACTTAGAAATTTTTGGAACAGCAAACATAGCCATTGTAACGCCGCGTTGAGTCGAGTATTTTTGGACATAATTTTCCCAGAGTACGAAATTAATAAGATATGATGCGATCTTGCTACTTGTTCTCTTAGCTAACCCTTCAAAGGCATGTTGTATAGGCATATTTTTGGCAAGCTCGGTCCACCATATCACATCTGCACTCCCTCCAACTCCTATCCAAACTTTTACAGATAAGTAAGGTGTCGTAAACAGTGGGTCTTACAGTAACAATAAGTGGACAATTCGCGCTCCCGCGACAGACGCCGCGACCGTTACCGCGATTTACGGCGATCGATAGTGGACAGCACGGAAACATACGGGGAGGAACTTTGCGCAGGAATTAAAACGCCACAACGGTTCTAGAAGTATAGTTACCCTCTAGTCACTCTTTTCAATCTGATTATGCAGCTCATAGCCTCTCTTCCTATATTTTATGTATAGGTAGGTAGTTTCTTTTTTAATAAAAAAATAATTTTTTTTTAGAAAACAATATTGCTGTGCCCAAACTGTGTTTGGTACTATAGCTTGTTTAAGACCTTATATACAAAATGGAATGCAATAAAGATATTGACTATTTACTATTGTTTTTCTGTGCTTATCAATTACGATATCATGCCGTTCTTAGATATTTATCTATGAGGTGAAAGAAGTGCCTTCTATATTATTAATATCATATTTTGATAATCAAAGTCTGCCTTTTGTAACTGCATACTTAATAGTCAGAAATGTTCAGCAACGATTCTCTACATCTCTTCAGAGAAAATTTGAAATGACGGAGCGCTCGAGCGTGTCGAGCACGCTTCAATTACCATCCCGTATGTTCTGCATCTAACAAATCGCCAAATAGGGCTGCCGAAGACGGACGGCGCAGGCGCACGGGACGCGGGACTCGCGGGCATTAATGAGATCTACGATCCCGTTGTTCCTCCAAACGAGCTGCCGATAAGAGTTATGGCTTCCGAACGTGCAAATCTATGGTTTTACAACAAGCTTTACGATTTCAAGCTTTTACATGATTTAAAATTTCCATACCTTTACTTGTTATAAGAAATTGTGGAAGTAATTCCAAGAGATTGAATGAACACTAATTTGAAAAACTCATAATCAGTGTTGCCAGTCGGGTCTCGTCCGAAATTACCAGAAATATGAAAAAATGTAACCTTTTTGAATAAAAAGTAACCTTCATTCGNCAATTGATCATCGATCGTTTCCCTAAATTTAAAATTTTGACCATTCCATGAAGACCGAACAGAGACTGGTCGCGGTCGTATAAAAACGTTTCATGGATTTGCGTTTTAGAAAAACATTCGCTAAACCTCATTTTTTTAACAAATAATAATCTAATTCATGTTTAAATGCAGTTTATGACATAATTTTTAAATTGACATTTGTAATATTTTTTACTGATTAACCTGTAAAAGTTAATTCTACAATTTCTGAAAAATCACCTAAAAGTAACCTTTTCATTAGTGTAACCTAAAAGTAAGCAATGCAGTTCAAAAGTAACGTAAAAGGTTACAAAAGTAACCTTCTGGCAACACCGAACTCATTAATAAGACCTTTAAAGTCAATCATTGCCTGGAAGAGATCGCTTCCTAGTGATAAGACTGCCTAAATAATTGTTCTGTTTCGATTTCGTATTTCTTTTGGGTTTATTTCTCTTTTGTGTGGTGCACATCAAAGTGTATTCCATCTTGCTATATTTTGAATAATGATTTCGACATTCATTGCTAGTCTACTAATCTACGGCAACTAATCAATTACAAAATATACGGTACTTATCACAGATCGTGTAGTAATTTTGTGAACGAATCATAGCTAATATTTCAAGTAGTGTGTCACCATGATTAATGTATCGAATTAAACTTGAATCCATTTAATTTAAATGATGAAAGCAAACACCTTGATGCTCTACTTTTTATGCTAATTTGTTACACATTCACTAATTTTCTCACAATATTTTACCGCAAAACGGTTCATTAAGAACTAATTACCTGCCCAAACAGGTACAAACACGCAACGGTTTCAATCGCTTTTCGATCTTGAAATCACACGATCGATTTAACTACACAATTTTATTGCATCGCTCTTGTTTGATACTCGGAAGTTTAGGTGTTTTCTTAAGTCGTGACGCAAGAACAGTCTAATAAAAGGGAAATCTTTTGAGAAACAGATGGCCCATTTTGTTATTTCTGTCAATTTGTCAATTTTCTACCTACCTGGGTACCTGAGCTGGACATTAGACAGTGACTACGTGGCCTCGTGTAGGTAATTTGTAAGTAGCTATTTCCTGCCTACATTGAAATAAATGTATAGCCAACTACTACATATCCCTAACTAAAGTAAAAATCCGTCTTTTTTCACGGCAATTTGAGCCAAACAGAACTCAGTAAACACAAAATGACCGTTACGCACCATAAATATCCCTGCAATCTACTTACTAATAGTGTTTTAAGCAGTCAATATATCAACAGTTTTAACAAGTGAATGGGCTGTCCGACCGCCGCGGTAAACTAGCAAGTTTTGGTAAACTAAACGGCAGAAATTTTTGTCTTTACAGAATTAACATTCGATCAATTGATAATTTCTAACTTGTGTGTACAAGCTGACTGTAAGTGAGGTGCTATTAAGAAAAAAATAACGGATAATAGTCCCATACTTTTCATATAGCAGCTTAGAGCTGCTCTACCTAAAGACATTGCATAAAAGTGAGTTATTATAATATTACTTCAATGATTTAAACAACAATTCAACGCCTTATGTACCTTTTTGTAATAAGCGCCTGAATGTCTTTCTCTGAGGTTTCCTTAACTGGTGCATTGTTTACTGTTGTGATTTTTTGTTAGATCTCAGCTGGCATTAACATTCAGAATTTCGGATTAAATTACGAAACTTATCTTTGAATTTACCAGCATAAGTAGTGCTCTGCTTAGCGAAACGACAGGTAAATCCAAATTGTAAGTTGCGCGTTATCTGGGTACTTAAGCAGTGTCAGACAATACGACAGCTCTCAGCGGATCGCCTCGACACCTGACGGCGACAGCTACAAACAGTGGCGGTTCTCCGCCGTACACTCAGTTATATCAATGGCTGTGTTTGTTGCAGGAGAACGTAAAATAAGCATCTAACGTTCCTTTCCCTAAGTACCTCAATTGATTGTCTAAGATTAGTCTACCTATGAAATATTGAAATAATACTTGGATTTTACATTCAAAATAAATTATTTAAATCTCGATCCACTGCACTGATTGGACGTCCGCAACACCTTTTTAAGAGAGCGTATTTTACCTACTTGTAAAGTTCCTATAATTTCTAAAAGGGGAAACCCATTTTATGTAATGGATGGAAAATAATATAGTGTCTCTAGTATTAGACTTCAATATTATAATTTTTGTGATCTAAAAATGTACCCGTAAACAGTGACATACAGTAAATAGTGACAATCATTATAAGCAAAACCCACAATAAACAAAAACCGCCTTAAACTTTGGGTATTTATCGTCACGATAAAACGCATTATTCACCAGTTACGATCCCAGGCTAGTACAGCGTTTAGGCGGACAGATGGCGCTGTCCGATGCGCGATATGCGCGCGCGCCGATACCATCGCGACGTTTGGGAAACAGCGTCGTGCGACACTCGCGCGATAAACCTGGATCTAAATCCGCAGATAGGCCTTATGCGTCAAATGCGAGACACATTAGTACTGAAACTGCCTCATGAATTTATTAGATGTACGAGTAACAGCGCGTTTACATGGGAGTTATGTCAATACACGTTTTGAAGATATCCAATACTTTTCAGATAGTCATTTGCATTACCTGCCAGGTTAATCTCTTGCTAAACGCAAACTTTCTTTAGAGTGTAACTCTTGGCTACTCTACTTTTAGCAATGCTTTCCTATTTGTCGTTTTATTCTTTTACCAAAGGACATAACAGCATCTCTTATTATTTTTTTTCAATATTATATTGAACCTAGAAAATCCATAACTGTATACCTAGTATGCTAAAAGTGTTCTTGGTAAACACCTCTAACAAATACGAGTAGGAATTCTAGTCGCGAAATAACTTATCTACACCCTGTATGTGAATCACCTGCGTGCTCTTTATTGGTATTCAAGAGCACAAACTACTAGACCAGGAGAGAATAGATACGATCTATCTGCTGCTTTAAATCTGCGTGAATATCGTTCGTTGCGATAGAAGCCTTCCTGTTGGCGAGACAGAGTGGCTGCCGCGGCTGTAAGGCCGTGCTTTTGCGTTTACATCGCCTGATTTAGTTCCTTGCCGGTCCTTGTTGACAGTTTAGGGGCAATTTCGTCATGGCAAAGTGTACAAGCTTCTATTGTAGCCTAATACACCTTGTATCTATTGAGTGAACGTTGGCATTTTTGTAACTACAAGTGTTGTGAGTCGCAAATTTTGCATGGGTGTCCTTTTAGTACGTAGGTACTCACTAAGAACCGATTTTTCGAAACTCCACCCCTAAGGGGGTAAAACGGGATCCACGCGATCGAAATCGCGGGCGGCCGCTAGTTAGAAATAAAGTCCTCAACAATCATCTAATCATAAAACCACTATAAGCACTATTTGCCTGTAAAAGTAAATTCCATTTTGCTACTCCTCCCCTCACCACAAATCTTAGTGAAACCTTTTTAATAGCAGCACTACCCAACATCGATACCCCCGCTATCTGAAAGGTCAAACCACTTTATCCGCCTGAACCTCTGAACCTAGGTTTTAAACTGAGATATTCCGCAGAACGCGGCACATAAATCCGGCTTACGGACAAAACATGTCCACTCATTCGCCGCGATGAAAACTTAAGCACGACCTGAGTCTAAACAGCCCCAGAGCATTTATTAGGCTTCTAGTTTACTTAAGGCGGGCGATAAATTGTCGCTTATCTTGGGACAATGCGCTGCCCGCGTAAGGCTATCGGTCTTGCTCAGCGTCAAAATACTCGTAGCAGGCGTGATCGCTCTTGCTTCAGGGGTGACGCGCGTCATCGCTCTTGGTCAGTGCTCTAGGGTTGCAGGTGTTTCTTGTGCGAAAATAATCGATTTGGTGTAATTAATAACTGATTTGATTACAAAGTTACAAAAAGCAGAAAGATGAAAGTTCAGACAAATTGAAATTACGAATCTCATAAATATAATCTTGGCATAAACAAGAATAATAACTTACCTAATACTGGCGTAAACAAGAAGCTAATTTAAGATTCAATTATCGTTTACTCTCTTATATTAAAACTTTTACAGCCCACATAAAAAGCGTGACATGTGATAATAATCACTACAAAGTAGAAATATTGTAACTTGTACATCCTTAAGACCAGCATCGTCGGATTTATACGATTCTCACCTGGCGCGGCGCAGCGTGAGTGCGACTGTATGCAAAT